CAAGTTAGTTCTGATTGTGCGGTGGTATTTGATTTGCATATTCTAGACCATTTTTGAGTGCTACATATATTCATAACTGAAATCAAACAACATGTTCAAAAGAAAGTCAAATTTGCATTTGGTTTTGAAAAGGCAAAGGCAGCACTTAATTTAGCAATTGACATAGGCTGTGAGAATAAATTTATTGACATGATAAATGGCTTTATCAATTGAAAAAAAAGTAGTATTAGTAATACAAATAATAAAAATAATGAAAATTTACATATATTGGATCTCTTGGTTCAAAGATAATATTAATGCCTATCATATAAACATATCAGGTTATTAACAGAAAATGATGCTAGTACTAAATACAATGCAATTAATCCAGTTAATCCAAATCTATATATATGCAATATACACTCAAGGCATGATACAAATATTACTGCTCAACTATTACAACCTATACTTAGCAACAATTATAATAAAAATCATAATGAAGAAAATATGGAGAGCACTATCAAGCAGAAATATGTATGCAAGCTATGCAAAAATCCTGGTCATAATTCTCAGAGATGTAATGGTAATGGTAATAAATAGGCCTAAAAAAGACTAGTTCATATGTATATAGCACAAGATTCAAAGAATATACTTTTATTGTATAGCAAGGATAATTAGTTTGGTAATAGTTTTTTACAATTTAGTGTTTGCTTTTTTTTATATATATATAATCTATAATAACAATAATAATAAAGCTTGTAACTATTTACTATATAATATTTTGTATTACAATTGCATTTCCTTTATCAAACAATGTTCGATTCAAAGGACCTGATCTATAACTTTATAAATATTGTAGGGTCAGAATTAAAACTGTGTTAACATAAATTAAGCTAGAGTTGGGTTTAAGACTATTAGGTTTTAAATATATTTCCAACACCTTAATTAATACATGCTTTTGCAATTGGTTTGCTGATACTTTTAAGTAATACTTATCAAAATGTTAAATATGTACGTATCTATTTTTTTTGTATTTATATTTTGCTACTTTGTTGAATTAACTCATACTACATGAAATATATTTCTAGATACCCATTGCTTAGTTGTTGGTCTGTATTTTATCGTATATATATATGTATAGAAGTATATATATAGTAAGTGCACCTATATAAGTGCACGCCCTCTCAATACACACTCACTTCAGGCCCAAGTATATAATCTCTATAAATGTGCTCGATTCTAAGAGTATATGCTTAGATTGTATAGTTTTGTAATATATGTTGTGTAACTTCAAATATTTAATAAACATAAATACAGTATATATGTTCGACAAATATATTATATTTGTATCATGTATATTACACAAATATATTATATTTGTATTATGTGATACTATAATTATTACTACCAGTTATAATTATAAATATTCTTATTAATATATATTAAATTTTTGTATCAGTTTAATATACTATTGATTATTTTAGTTGGTTGTATTAGAAGTTAGTCACATTACTTGTTAATAGTAGAGTTGATATATACATATAAGTATTATACATTTTCTAGATTTTAAAGAGTTTTTAATATGTTATAGTGTTATTTACTCATGTTGTAAAGTTATGTAGTTGGCTTGAAAATGGGTTAATAGAGAATTCATATTTTTTTTGATATTAAGTTTAGGTCTTGATTATATTTTTATTAATAGTTTTTAATATAAGAGTTGCTAATCTTTAAATATATAAAATATAAAAAATAAAAACTATATATAAGAATAAAAGCTCAGACTCAAGTTATCCATCATCAACTCTTTCTAATAATTACTTGAACTAACCATTCCTACCAACTCAAGTTGAAGAACTCAAAGCCTGATATTAAAAACTACCCAAAGTTTTCTTTCTATTATTGTCAATGAAGCCTCTATCATGATATATCGAGGAGCAAGCAGTAGAGAAGCAGTTTGTAGTCTGAATTAAGCTTATTCTTTGGTAGACTTCCCACATTTGGTATTCAAGCTAAAAAGGTTATTCTAGTAGCGATTTATCAAAAGAGAACATTAAGATAGTAAAGGAAAGAAAGACAAGAAAGAACAACTATAAAAGCACTCTTTACGGCTAGTATCTCACAAAAATATTGGTTTTTTTTTGCTCTCGTTAACACTTTGGTGAAATTTTTGTTAGAGGCACTGGTTTACTATGACTAAAAGATTGTTACTGCTTATCTTTCCAAAATAGAATATAGCTATATTGTAATATGCAAAAAGTTCAAAAGAACTATAGTATAAAATAGCCTATTTCTAAAAATAGTATACTTGCAGTTTTTGAAGATATTAGAGTTGTCATAACAAGTAGTTTTAGAGATATATCTTAGAATCACTAGATATATAATTTTTGTGCAGGTTGTAGCACATTATTCTTTTTTTTCTTGTTTAGTCTTAGATCATATAGTAGTATTGACTAAGATTAGACTCTAGATAATATATACTAGTCAATGATATAGTGGGTTTATACTAGACTAGCAGCTAAGAACCCCTGGTCTTCTGTTAAGACAAAGAGATAAGTTTTTTATCAGAACTAGACAACTTTGTTGTTGAGAAGTCATAAATTAATTATATGTATATATAAATAGTTTACAATAAACTAGTCAGATCCAGGGTCTTGGCTACATAGTGATAACTTTGTCCTTTTTAAAAAAAATAAAAAATAAAAGTCAGACTATTTTATTTGTAATCTAAATTTACTAGAATAGTTAAAAACTTATCTAAATTGTGATAGATAAAATATAATTAGAAGATATACTATAATAGATTCATAATATATTAAAAATTTTAAATTTGCAAATAGCTTGTCCTAGTAATAAACAGAAATTATTAATATATAATTGGTCTAGTTAACAATATTGGCATGAATAAATATAAGCTTTGTGGATTTGCTTTGAGATTCTGTTATGAATATATGTAGCACTCAAAAATGGTCTAGAATATGCAAATCAAATACCACCGCACAATCAGAACTAACTTG